CATGATTCTTAAAACCCTTCTATATAAAAAAAGAAAACAATATTCTTAAAACACTTCTATATAAAAAACGAGAACATGATTCTTAAAGCACTTTTATATAAAAAACAAAAACATGATTCTTAAAACACTTCTATATAAAAAAAACATGATTCTTAAAACACCTTTATATAAAAAACAAAAACATGATTCTTAAAACACATCTATATAATAAATTTAAAAATCAAATTGTACTAAGTTTAAGTGTAAACTGAATTTCATAGATTCCTTAAGTTATCTAAACTGTTGCAATCCAAGTAGATGTTAATATGAAGCAACAAAAAAAAATTGAATATTATTACTGTTTTACATTAAATATTAAATGAAAAATGTGTTGCAATTAAAAAGAAATATTAATGGACTCTAACTGTGAGTAAGCAACTCAGGAACTATTTACTTCATTTCCAGCGGATCAGTACAGCCAGTGGTGACGGAAAGCATTACTGCTACCCACATTTCACCTGTGCTGTGGACACGGAGAACATCAGACGTGTCTTTAACGACTGTAGGGATATCATTCAGAGGATGCATCTTCGCCAGTATGAGCTCTTGTGATGGTTACTAGCTATCTGTAGTACAGGGGCAAGTGTGGATGCTGCTGGACTCTCATCATGTGACATCACCCACTGGCTCAATCTCCCAGTTTTGATACCAGTATGTTACCTGTATTTTTGTGGTTGTATCAGGGCTGGGGGCAGGAACCTCAAGTCCTGTCCCAGCCCCCATTTTTTCTCCCTCCGTCTCTTTGTTTCCTTTTTTGGCAGCATCCAAACTTTAGGCTCGCATGACCTTGGGGCTTAGGTCACATTACTTTGAATGACAAAAAAATGGACTCAGAACGCACAGAAGGATTGTGAAGCCTGTACTTCTAGCTTTGGTAACCAGGTCGTATACCTGCTAGACCCGCACAGTCATGGAAAGCAGCTTGGTTGTTATTGGCTGCCCTGAGGAAGACAGTTCACTCCATAAAGGGTGTGGTTTGCTGATGCCAGGTGGGTCGGCAGCTAGTTGTTGTCAGATATATGTGTAACATCTTGTCCTCTTGTATTTTCTTGTTGTTTTATAACATTAAGTTAATGACTCTAGTCTTATTCAAGGAAACCAGAGAGCAAAGTCTGGGAACTGTGTAGCAAAATCTCTTTCTGGGATATCCAAGAAAACCAGAAGGAAATGTGTAGTAACCCATTCTTTTTTCTTCTGGAATATCGAAGGAAAGCACTGTTTAGGGAATGATGAATTAGCTCTCTGTTCTCTTGGAGTGCTTATCGTGCTGTAAATTTTCTGATCCTGTACGCACTAGACTCTTTGTCCCTGTGTTTGTGATCTTTGTTTAAAGTTTTAGGTAGCACATCTGCATCTGATCTAATCAGTAGAAACACATATAACATGTTTTGTTTTTCTTTAATTTTTCTTTTTTTTTATGTAATCTATTAATAAGACTTAAAACCATAACTGGAATTGTAATAAGAGTTTTAAGAAAAGTTTAAACAGTTGCATCACTTAGACTTATTTAATTTCCTTCAGCATGTACGTGTATACTTCATTGTTAACCTGAGATTATAGTACTTATGTAAAGTCAGTGTGTGTATAGTGAACAGATTGGAACTAACGTTTGAAGACTAACAACATAATGACAAGGGTGTTGTTTCATTGGATAGCTAGGTAGTTTAGATACTGTAGAGCCTAATGCTCTCGTTTTCACTTGTAGTCAAAAAGATTTCAGGTTTGTAATGAGCTCTTGGCCAGGTCACTATGTGGTTTGAAGAAACAGTCCCTAATGAAAATTACTAAAACTGAAACTGATTCTATTATACACTTAAATTAACTTCATTATCAAAAATCATTTAAACTAAAACACAGGTTAGGAATGGAGAAATGAGATACTGTAATTTTAAACATTTACATATTAATCATGAAGGAAACAAAGAGGTGTTGAGCTTTCTAACATTGTATTGAGAGGAAAATAATAATTTTAAACATAAATTAGTCTTACCTTTTGTTAATTCTATGGTATAAACATACCACAAGAGTGGCATAAATTAACATCATGGGGTAAAATATGATTCAGCAAGTTAGTGTTAACAAGTTAGGACTAATATATCATAACTGTAGATGACAACATATAATGAGGGTAGGGTTGGTGCTGTGGATAAGTTTTTTGTTTTTCCCTATCTCCTTAGTAATTGTGGTTGGACGTACGGAAGTGGGCCAGACATAGTTATAATTGATTATTCTGGTTTTGTTAGTATCATTAGCCAGTACCGATGTGAAAGAAAATCAGTAGTACACATAGTACCCTGAAGTCAGTTATGCTAATTTTGAATTTGTTGTTCTAATTATACAAGTTTGGGTAGAATGTGGTTTCGACAAGTCTGTGAATAGACTTGTCAGAACATTATCTTTTTTTAACGATACAGATTTCTGTGTAATGTCATTCATTGCCTATATCTGTTGAATTTGGATGTTCAAGCTTTTTGCTCTTCCACTTTGAGTTAGGAATTCAAAATATTTTGGTTACAAATGTTATGGGCCTGTATCTCTAAGCCACACTCGAAATACATAAGACTGCGTCAGTTGTAATGGTGTTTAACAAAACATTATGACTTCTGATGGTACTTGCTTCAGAATTGCATTATAATTTTGATAATGAACAAAATAAACACCAAATATTAAACTTTTATTTTTCATTTACATTTCTGGAATGTAAACTTTACATCTACTGAATACTTTTGTTAGGTCTGCATACTTTACACCTACTGAATACTTTAATTAGGTCTGCATACTTTACATCTACTGAATACTTTTATTAGGTCTGCATACTTTACATCTACTGAATACTTTTATTAGGTCTGCATACTTTACACTACTGAATACTTTTATTAGGTCTGCATACTTTACACCTACTGAATACTTTTATTAGGTCTGCATACTTTACATCTACTGAATACTTTTATTAGGTCTGCATACTTTACATCTACTGAATACTTTTATTAGGTCTGCATACTTTACATCTGTTTGTGCTTCAGGCAAAAGGTTTGCTGTTATGATTTTATCTTTGCAGTTTTTATTTTTTGAATGTATGGTTGCTATACTTTCCATAAATTATCAGAAAATGGTGATGGTCAGGTTACATTGATGTTCCGATTACTTTTCATTCCGTAAACTACCGGAAGACTGAAGGTCTGGTTTACCTTCCATAAACTACCAGAAGTCACTGAAATTCTGGTTACTTCACCTTTTGCAAATTACTAGAAGGCACTGAAGTCTGGTTACTTTATCTTCCATGAACTAACAGAAAATGCTGATGATCTGGTTACTGTACATTCTATAAACTACAAGAACTCACTGATGAGCTGGTTACTGTATATTCTATAAACTACAAGAACACATTGATGATCTGGTTACTGTACATTATATAAACTACAAGAACACACTGATGATCTGGTTACTGTACCTTCTATAAACTACAAGAACTCACTGATGATCTGGTTACTGTACATTCTATAAACTACAAGAACACACTGATGATCTGGTTACTGTACATTCTATAAACTACAAGAACAACACTGATGATCTGGTTACTGTACATTATGCGAACTACTAAACTATCAGAGGAAGTTTTGTTATTGGTTTGTACGACTAGACAGAATTGCTTGTATTCTACTGATATATCATACTAAGATGTTCAAATTAACATTGTAAAGGAGAAACACTAAATCATGAAACCACATTTTATCCAACAGTTAATTCAATGACTGGGGGAATTCTCACTTTTTATTTTTATCCCATAAAAATAATGATATTAAAATAATACAATTAATTGTTTTCTACTTAAAACTTCAGATTGGATATTTAATAATAGCTATGTTTTCATACTAAAAATGGTAACTACGTAATATTTTGTATCATCTTCCTCATGATTCTTCAATATCAGTATCAAGCAGAATTAAATTTAGAGCACAAAATAGAGTATAGGCATGGATTTGATCTGAGTAAACATTACGTAGATTGTTCTGTATAGTAAACATTTTTCACCATAACTCGTCAAAGTTGAACTTATTTTGTTTTATCACTTTGTTTAGTTTATATAGATATGAAAGAAAAATTGACCGTTATGGTTTAAGCACGTAATTAGTGGTTATCCTTTTAGTAAACAATTATATAACTTTAACCTATTTTATATGTCCAGTTCTAAATAGATCTGAATGTGTGCTTATTTGAATATTATTTGTGTATACATTTGTTTTACAAGTGAGTCGATACTTTTTTTTACTTTTCTTGCTTAGAGTATTTAAGAATTAAACTTTTAGTGTTAGATGTGTTTAGCAAACAGTTAGTTACACGTGTTATCTGCCATTAAGGTGTCAGTCATGCACTACACTCTTTTACGTAATAAACAAAACAAAATAATCTTGGATTTTGAAACTGTACTTTTTTTTTTAATTGATATGTTGATGAAGTAGATTCATTGTTGGCGTAAAAGGATGGATGGTGATAGCATTACCTCTGTAATGAGTGTTTGAAATCTACTACAGTAAATTTGTTAACTTTATACAGTGGCAATTATTTTTTTGTTGTAGTCACAAACTAATCTTTAACGAATGCTTCAAGTAATATTGAAGGACAATAGATCTATATCAAGTAAATGCAGACATTTCCGTCTGTCTGTATATGTATGTGTGTATATAGATAGAGAAAAACTTAAAGCCTGTTATAACAGTGGTGACATTGGTTAAACTTTTTTATTGTTATCAGAGACATGAACATTTACTAAACAATATGAATTTTCTTTATAGTCCAAAAGTACAAATAAGATGATGTTGAGTTCTACTTTATCTGTTGTGTTCTAATATTTGGAGGAAGGTAATTTATAAGAATTATTAATTTCTAAAGCCTAGAGGTTTTGGTGTGAAAAGCACAATTTTAACCTGTTATTCTTTGGGAACTTCAGTATCTCGTTAAGATCAGGCTTTTATATTATCATACCTAATTAGTTATATATTTTTAGGAAGAGAAAACATTTAGGTCGATAAAGTGCCAGTTTTATCTGGTGAATTTATCTTTGTTTGATGCAAGAAAGCCAAAATATTTAATGTGCTGGTTGGTTATTTAAACTTTGATATTGTAGAAGCCAAAGTTGTGTATACAACTATACATCTTAAGTAGTACAAAGATGTTTATTAAATGTAATAACTAGTCTGTAGTCCAACCACATTTCCAACTACATTCTTGACAATGATTAAATTTGTTCAGTTCTTGTTTTAGAGTTGGTATTAAAAAGTGTGGAATTATTTTCCATGTTAGAAAAAAAAAAAAAAAGAAAGACAGATACATATTTATAGAAAGAAATCATGTAAGATTCCTACAGAAATAGAGAGATAAAAAAAGATGCTTTTTAGGTGGGAGTTCCTCTGATAAATCTTTATATGCAGCAGCTCTGTGGTAAAGACAGCTTGTTTTGTAGTGGCAAGGTAAAAGCCTGGTGGTGTATCCAGCCAATGTGTACTGTAGGTCTGGAAAGATGAGTTTGTTTTGTTCTTTCAATGTTAAGATTATACTTGTTTTGATATTTCACTTCTCCACCTGGTGACAATGTTGTAGAAGCTTGGTCTGACACACTGTGGAAAGTGTACAGTGTACATACGTACCCATGTGCTTATCAAATACATAAGGAATGTCCCACTTGTGTGTTGTGTGTTTTGTTCCAAGTTTTATACATTACTTACATTTTAGTCCCAGGTAGGAACATAGTTACAATTATCAACCTTATGAAAAATCTGGGAGCCTAACAGAATTCATGAAAACTTTTGTGAATCCACTGCAGTGACTAATATGTTTTCATTAAAATGATAAAGAATTGACATAGAAATATTCTGAGTTTTCAACTTTTAGGGTATACTTATTTGAGATGTAATTTGTAAAACCTCATTAAATCAACTTTAGTGTTTAAAATTATTATCTAAAGTACATATTTCTATAATCATACATTCCAGTTAAAGTTTTAATTTCTTTATGATATCAGTCAGTTTCCTTAACAACAAAGTTCACCTTCGTTACATCAGATACAAAGACAAGAATCTGATTCCAATGTACTGTCCTGCTTAGGACCACTAATTAGTTGTAGACTGTAATAATTGAAAAAAAATTAATATTTTCAAAACTTGTGATGTAGATAAGTTCTAATTGTCAGGTATTTTAGTATTATAGTGGAAACATGAACACTAACCAAACAGACACAAGAAGTAATCATAATTAATTAAAGAGTGGATAATTCATGATGCTAGGAAAACACGTAGATTCAAGAAGACAAAACCATATAACCCGAGTACGTCGGAAAGGTGGACGTTTCTTCATCCCAGTTTAACCCTCATTGATAAAAGATCCACCTATTGAAAGTGGATAATTCATGATGCTAGGAAAACACGTAGATTCAAGAAGACAAAACCATATAACCCGAGTACGTCAGAAAGGTGGACGTTTCTTCATCATCCCAGTTTAACCCTCATTGATAAAAGATCCACCTATTGAAAGCGCTCGTGTTATAGTGTTTTATATTTTTGTCAAAGTTTTCTTTTGGGGTGTAGGCTGAATATTGTGAAACTTTCAGTGGTAGCAGAGATCCAGGAAAGTTTTCAAGCAAAATACATATGTAGGAAGAGGTTATAATGGAAATCTTTTACACTAAGAGAAGGAAATATCAGTGAAAGGATTTTCTCTCGCCTTGACAGTCAACCAGTCTATACATTCATTCCGAGGAATTCCAATATTCCCTGAAGTCCAGATGAAGCAAACTGAACAGCTATGGTGACACAAGTGAATATGGTATTCCCAAGTTAGAAGGACAGCAAGGAGAACCAAAGGTATGAAAAGAGCCCAGTGAGTCATGCAGAAAGAAAACTGAAGAGCTGCTCTTGGAGTAAATCCACTTCAGAGCAAAAAACAAGAGCCAAGAGTTCTGCAATATGAATATCAACATAGTTAGGAATGTGAAAGTGTTTGGTATTTCCAAGAGTACGAACGTAATAGGCACAAGCAGTCCTTCTAGAAGTGGAGTCGTGAAAACCATCAGTATAAATAGTTAAAGTTCACTGGAAAGTTTATAAGAATTGGAAGCAAAACTGTATTATTCTGGAAGCAAAGTGAGAATGAAATCAATTAATACATTATCAAGCAGTGAAGAGATTGGAAGTGACTTACTGTAGTAGGTGCAACACTTCTAGTGGTATCTAAATTAATGGAGTTCTGAAAGTTGACGCACACATACACATAGGTGCCAGATCTGTGTGTGCTTGAACACCCCAAAATATATTGATAAAATTGCTGCTGTGCATCCTGAATCTGTGCGAAAAATACACCCAGCATCTTCAAGCATTTGGAAAAATTGGTGTTGATGGACACATATGATAACTATTGGAATCAGCCCACAACCCCCAATAATACTGATGGCTTTGGGCAAAATGTACTCTATGCTTGTTGTAATAAGCTTTTATTATGTGATTGTTTGTGTTTAGTTCCTTTTTCTTGGTTGCATACGTCATGCAATGGGCTTCCTGGACTAACTACTCAGACTTATAGAATAGACCTCGTCGAGAATTTGGATATCCCTCTTAGAAACCATAAGAGTGGAGAGAAATAGCATCGCAAATCATCTGTTAAGACATCTCTTCCACTCCTTTTTTCCACCAAAGTGATGTGTCCTCAGTGGACCTTTCTGCTGCTGTCCTAAACCCAGTAATTGTTTTGCTTCATTCTGAAAACCTCCAAATTCAGAGTCTGGAAACTCACTAGGAATTAACATAATTAGGTACAGGCCTTGGGGCTAGTCAGAGAAGTTAAGAGCCCTGAATTAAAGAGGGTGCCCTGTATTTTACAGATATCTAAGTGTAACGTCAAACAATTATTGATAAAAGTAAAAAATCAAAATTAGGGAAGAAGAAAATTAAGGCTGTGCTCACGTCTTGAAAAATTGCTGTCGAGATCTACCTGATCGTAAAGAAGGCTTAACGTAACTTGAACGTTAAGGTTTAGCCAGACAGTTCGGGACTTTCACTAAAATATTAATACGTCTTCTGTCCTTTAGTAAATTGTCAAAAACTATCGACCTTTCCCATTGTTCACTGAAGCCTAGCTGTCTGATGGTCTGTGACCTATGAACCAAAATATGGTTTCTCACAAAGCATTTCTTATTAAGATCTTGTGCTCATCCCTTTAACACTTTTGGAACTTTCTAAAAAAAAATTTCAATGCCAAATCCAAAAAAATCAATCTCGATAACAAAGTCCTGGTTGAGAAATGTTATTACAAATTTATATACAGCTTTCTCCGAGTTTTTGGCCAGAGTATAAATTACATTAATACGAATCTGTCAAGAGTCATAACCTGAAGTTTTAAAAATAAAGCTAGCGTGAAAAATCACATATTTACATCAACACCTACATGTTTTTAAAAGTTTCGTGCGAACATAAAAACCTACTATTCTTCTATTGGCTTTATCTAGCTTAACTTTTAGTTTACAAACTACAATGTGCCTATATTCTAGGAAGTCGTATTTCCTAGACCTTCAAACACACACATAAAAAAAAAAACATTATGTTAACAATAATGCTGAGTGGACATAAAGTTAAATACAGGACAAATATAAACTTAAATTCAATGACGAGGAACCCACTCTGAGACTAATAATGGTTGGAGACGGCTTGAATGGGTAATGAAGAAAAACTTTAATATAAGTTTAACATAACAGCAAATGTACAACATTTCGACTCGTAGGATTAAGTGTTACCAGCCGCCAACTTTTATAATTTAGTCACTTTAGCCAGCGGCACAGTTTCGTAGAAATCAATGCTTAAGTAGAACCACTTTCATTTTAAGGGATGCCTATTTAATAATCGAACATATAGTTTTATTTATTTTAGAGCAAAGCTACATTGGGCTATATGCTGTGTCCATCGTAAAGAATCGAAAGCCGAATTTTAGCATCGCAAGCCCGTAAACTTACCGCTGTCCCATCAGAGGGATTTTTTCTTTTTCTGAAACAGCTAATTGTGGGATAATAGATTTATTTTAGTACAGTTATTTTGTGTCTAACAGTGAGGCCCCCCAGTAGCACAGCGGCATGTCTGCGGACTTACAACGCTAGAAACCGGGTTTCGATAGCCGTGGTGAGCAGAGCACAGATAGCCCTTGTGTAGCTTTGTGCATAATTAAAAACAAACAAACAGTGAGACATGATCACGTATAACATGTCAAGTACAAATAAGTCCAATCAAATAACTGTTTGTGGTGAGAGTATCTGCATTTGTTTTTTAATGTAATTAATTTAATACAAATATATCGGTGCTCCTGATTGTTGTTTTTCATGTTAGGTTTTAGTTCTTTGATTTTTAGTGCTTCCCAGTTTTTTTTTTTTTTGTTTGAGTTTTATTTTACATTAAGTATTTTAAAAATTTAAACAATATGTTTAAATCCGTTTTTAATCCTTTTGTTGTTTTGTTCTTTGCTTGTGGTCATTATTTTTCTATCTTTTTCTCCTATACAAAACTTTTGCAATCAAAACATTTTATTTTATATAATGTGTCATTGCCATATTTTTCATTGTTATATAACTTAAACTTATCAGAAAAACTTTCAGTATTGGTTCATAGTGTAGTTACGATTTTTGTTTTTATGTGCAATTTATTTTTTACTTAATTCGTGTACCATAAACAAATTATTATTTTTCTTTAATAATACCTACAAATGACATTGATTCATAAATACATCTTGATTTTCTTGAGTGTTTTGGTCAGTTCTTTTTTGTTCTTGTGCTTTTTTTGTTTATTGTTTTCTTGGTTATGTCATGTTATGGGAGTAATCATTTTAGGTTTCGGAGCATTCTCTTATGCGTTGAATGTCATTTTCCATGTTTTCGTTGGTGTTTAGTCTCATTGTTGTCTAAATGTATTTGTATTTTGAACGTGATCGTGTATCACTGTTAGAGCCGAAACGTTGTACTGAAATAAATCTTTTCTCCCACAAATACTGCTTCAAAACTTTATATACGTTCGATTATTAAGTAGAACCAAACCGTGAATATTTAATACTTTATAAATACTTCATTCTGTCTCTATCTAAAAATACAAAATATTTCGCTATTCAATAGAATTGCGAAATTTACCATTTTGAATTTCGTATTAGTAAGATGTAACCTTAAAAAAAAGCCACAACAATATATTATTGATGCTAGTTTAAACTTAAGTTGGCCCTCTAGTGGCTCAGCGGTAAGTCTAAAGTGTTATAACGCTAAAATTTGGGTTTCGATACCCTTGGCGGGTACAGCATATATAGCCTTTCGTGTAGCTTTGCGCTTAACAACAAACAAAAAATAATTGCGTTTTTTGCATAAATATTGATATCTACAGTTATTCCGTCGACAACAGTGCCATCTATAACTTATAAATCTAACACCGATGAGCTGTGCCGAGAGTCATTCATATAGATAGATATATGTGAATTTCAACCAATCTAAGGTTTCCTAACATAATCCATGTGTCGACATTTACAGGTTTCGAGGGCAGTTTGCGATCTGATCGAAAGTTAAAGGTATGTTTGAACACCAAGGTATGTTCAATTTCTTTTTTTTTCCTGTTTTCATTCTTTGTTTTGGCTCAGAGAAATTACAAAACAAAAGAGGTTGTTTTGTTCATTATAAGTTTTATTAAATCTAATTATCGAACGTTACAAAGTTACTGGTGTAACTACTGTTGGCAGTGATATAATGATACAGTTATATTGACATTGACTCTTTAAAAATTAAATTATTAAAACTTTAATTTAACCAGCTAATTTATTAAGTACGATGATTTATTTGCTACTACAGTAATGTCGCAGTTCTGTAAGCTGGACATTACTAGTACCGCTACTGTCAAGACCACAAATCTAGTAATCCTGACACTGACAGTAGTACTATATGATAATACTATTAATATTATTAATAGTAATATGTGAAATTACAGTTAACCCTACTAATTACTATGCTGTAATCTGTTGCATTATGTTTTTAAACTGTTAATGTTAGTATCAATCATATAGTTTTGTATTACCTCTTCATCTAATTGTTGCAAAAAACTAATTTCACTTACAGTTACTTTTTCGGTATACATAATTCTATCTCGGAGTAAGAGTAGTGTAAAGTCAAAGACTCCCTTTCCCCAGTCTAATTGTATACACTTGCTGCATATTCATGATTCAATACTAGTAATTTTTATAAAACTTCAATAATCAGTCCAAAATGTGGGAGTATAGATGTAATAGTTTGAGGTAGTGATTTATGTTTTATTTTTAGATATGTAGTTCACATGCGTCTTAGTAGTGTACATTAAATATTAGATGAGTTATTGTTATATTAAAAAACCCACACAAGCTAACCTTAGTGGTGATATATGGACACTGTATGATTATGTACCAAATGCTAAGTTGTCAGTTGTGATAAGTAATTTTGTTTTCTGGCCAGGAAATAAGCCCATGATTTGAAGTTAAACAAGACTGTCGAGAGGAGATAGACTAGAGGGATGTAAGAAAAATTGGTTGATTATTAAAAGAAATAGACTGATGCAGATACTCACATGATCGTTATTTGTAATTTCATGTTATTTTGAAAAGTGAATAATAACATTTTATGTACTTTTACAAGTTAGTTTTTTCTTCTTGTAGTTCTTTTTTTTTTTACTAATTCATTATTATTTTGGTATTAACAATATTTCTGTTTTTGTCTTTGAATGTTTGTATTTGAAATTGAGATTGAGATGTTTAGTTACATAGGCTTCGCCAGGCACCAATTCTTTAATTATTAATTTCTGAAATTTCTAGAACTTGTATTTAATAAATTTGTAACTTATCTTCCCCTGGTAGTAACATGGGTAACTGATATTTTACATTGATAATGTGGTAGTTTAATACATTATGTAACTTTTACAGTACACACTACATTATATAAGATACTATCTTTTAAACTGTATAGTTTTAGTATGTTATAAGTGTATATAACCTATAAACTTGTAATAACATGAATAACGGCCACCCTTGAGAAAAGGAAAAATTAAAACTCACCTTTCATTTTTTAATTACATCACAGATTTCCCTCTTTTAAATTCCTGTAAAGTGCTGGCCTCCACTACTTACGTCAATCATCCTGTTAAAGAAATAAAACTGTTATAATTGGAGCCTAGTCTGCTTTTTCCAAATCTTAAACATATGTACTTTCATCCTGTTATTTTGAGAATAGAGTGTAAATAAATCCTTTTTTAGTATGTTCAATCAGTCCCCTCAGTAGGATAGTTTGTTATATTGCATCTTACTTTTCTTTTCTCAAGAGAAAATATGTTAAGAAATTTTAACCATACCATCCAAGGAATCATCCTAGTACACCTTCAATGAGTCCTTTCCAATAAGTCAATATTCTTCCTGGATATGGAGACCAAGCTTAACTAGTATTTTGTATAGAAATAATTATGTCTTTTGACGTGAAGTAAATATTTCCATAAATAAACCCTAAAATTCTATAGATTTTGCCACTATCTATATAGCTCTGCTTCAGTAGTTTATCTATCTATGAGAAGATGTTTTTCTTCATTCATGCTGTTGACTAAGTTCACATATATCTATAATAATAAAAGGGTGTGTGTGTGTATGACTGCCATAGCTCCAAGAGGAAAGAACCTAGAAACCTGAAATTTTGCACCCATATTAAATGGACCCTGAGGGTGTGCATCTGGGTATTATTATTATTTATCCACATGCGTGAGAGTGCCCCACAGTATACCTTGTAGTATATCAGTTAGATGAACAACTTCTAATATATAGAAAAGCCAGTGGCTTTTATGTTATGTTGTTCAGCAACAAAAGTATAACCTAATATTGTTGTTAGTCCATGTACTGAAAATATAAAATGATATGTATAGACAACAAAACTGGAAAAAATATTTGTTGATTTTCTAATTTAGAGTCTCCATTGATTAAAGAAGTTAATTTTATTGAACTACTATTTTATGAATGTATGTCAATAACTTTGGTATCAAATTGTAGGTTATAATTAAAATTTTAATGTTATACATTAGTTAATTTAAAAGTAAATACTAAAAACATCTTAAATATTGATTTTTGTGTGTCACATGGAATGTTGAATGTAGCTTTGGTTCAGATTAGATGTTTATGTTGTCCAAGTCTATCTTTCTAATGAGTTAGAAAATCAAATTACAGATATTGACAAACTAGAATAGAAAATAAGAACCTCCTATCTTTTCTATTTGCTGAGATATTGCTACATTTAGAGAATCAAACACAGTGGCCCCACCCATGGCTTTCCATTTTTGGAAATACTTGCCTATGTACCCCTACTTCTGTCTATGACGTATGAATAACCAGTCGAAAGCTCAGAATGTCCCCCACGTCATTCACTGAGTCTCTGCAAAGTATTTATGTAGGAAACCCTTTCTTTTCAGGATAGATTCCAAATGGTAAGGTAAAACATTATTGAGCTTGAAAAATCATATTTTTTTTTAGACCCAAATACAGCTTATCTTGTAAGTCTGATAAATTATAGTGGAATTTTGTGTTTTATATATATATATATTAATTTATTATTTTTTTGTTATTTCAAAATTCATATATAAAACATAAAAATTATTTTGTTTTACATTCTCTATGTGCGAAACTTGATAAGGCTTAGCAACTTATGGCAAGCAGCAAACGAGTACAAAGTTCGTAACTAGAAGATATAATTGTTTTCTATACTTCTTTATTTACTGTTCTATGTTTTAAGACAAATAACTGAAATTTAATAACTTATTTCTTAATAGTAATAATGTATATACATATATAATGTATTATAACTGAAAGTTGATTGTATTTTACAAAATACTGTTCCAGTAGAACATAGCCACGACAGGTCCCTTTGTAATGGCCAGTCTTATGTAACATGAGTGCATGTGTGCCGCATCATTCAACTTTTTTCAGATACTGCTGAAAGGTCAATAAAATAAATTTTTATATATGTAAAATTATACGAGATTTAAGCTATGTAGGCTAAACAGTTGTGGTTTTGTGTTATAATCTGTAGTAATTCTAGAACGAAAAAGCGTAATATATATATATATCTTATTTTTTATGATGGTTACAACGTCGGTCGAATTGACCAAACCCATACAGAGATACAATAGTGAAAATAGTAGATAAAATATATAGCTTTTTTCTAAAAAAGACATTTGATAATTATCTGGAGGATATTAGGAGGTTATAGAGATCTCACATGGGAATTTGACAATTTTCTGATGCATAAAAGTATTTTTAATCTTAAAATCAAAATTACTTTGCATGTTGGATAGTCAACATTTGAAAATAAAAAATGCATTAATTAAATAATGTTAAAACTTAATTAAAATCTGATACTTTGTGTATGAAAGCGTTATAACGTTTACTGGAAATCTGTAAAACTTTCTGAAAATACATGTACATTTCAAAATGTTTTGGTATAACTGCTTTATGGTTACTTTCAGAAATACAGGCAAGGTGGAGTTCACCCAGCCATATTAGAGTGGTTAACGTGTTCTTCTCTATCCCATGCATCATCCTAGTAGCCCTCCCTTGAATCCTTTCCAACTATTCAGAGTCCTTCCTGGGGTAAGGAGCCCAAGACTGAACAAAATACTCCAAACATGATCTAACCAGCGACCTATACGATGAAATTATAACTTCTTTAGACTTGTATTCATTATTACCTGAAAATATATTTTCACATTGTTACCCACCTCTCCCACCCTTCCTTCCCACTTCCGCTGTGTTTCTTTTGCCTCATCAGGAATGAGCCTTTGGTATACATAATGTTATCAAAGGGGTAATATGTATGGAGGATTTGTCACCTCCTGTTGGTAGAGGGCTATAGTTTTAATTCTGATTGTGTTACAGACAGACATAATGTACAGTAACACATGTTGGGGTTGGAGTTTCATTCAAGCTTGGTGCAAGACAGATATAATGTACAGTAACACATGTTGGGGTTGGAGTTTCATTCAAGCTTGGTGCAAGACAGATATAATGCACAGTAACACATGTTGAGGTTGGAGTTTCATTCAAGCTTGGTGCATATACAAAACTATTTTAGGAAGTGGTGTGAAATGTCAGCTCTTAGTTTTGTATGTATCCGAAGTACATTTTCAGATAAGGAAAATGTTAACACTGGAAATACAAATAAAAGTACTTACATCTGTAATGTGTAAGAAGAAAATGAATATAGAAAGAAAGGGATTTAGATAAAGCTTCACACTTGTGACGTAGATCTAAGTTTGGTTTTGTAATGAAAAGGGAATTTATTGTCACACTGTATGAGAATTCATTACTGATAACACATTCAGTTTTGATCCCATTGTTACATGGTTTGAAAAATGTGACTTATTATTATTTAAAGACTTTGGCTTATTTCAGATGAAGTACTAGAAGTGTCTTAATTCAACTGTTAAAAATTAATAAAAGTGTAACTGGTGACCGGAAATAAAGTCACTCATTTTTTAATACGCAAATATAATGTAAAGTAATACAACAAAAAACATTTTTAAGTTATTTGTTTATTGTAATAAATGCATGATATGTAACATTATATGAAAAATACATGACATACACACACATAAATAACACAACTTACATAACTGTTGTACAAGGAGATATATAAAGTAAATTAGGAACGAGGCTACCTGGTTTACCAAAACCTGAAGAACATGGTGCTTAACCTGACCTCACATGAGATCAGTCCAGATTATGATCCTGGATGGATCCTCTTACATTTTGTACATTATGTATTGAATTTATTAACACATCTTCTAATCTAAGCATTTCGTCAGAATGATTCGTTGTGTCACGCTTTTTGATCAAACAGCACTCTTCAAACAGTCTGTTCATTTGACAAGTGTATTTATATCAGGCGCACTTTTCAGGCACACATGAGGTCAATCATCACATGAATGAGTAAAATAATTGAATAATTTAACTTCTATGAACTTAAAAAATTATAAACATAAATCTTCAAATTGTGACTTTTTTTTTTCCAACATTTGTGGAACTAATATACTTGAATAAGGAGTTACATTATGTTCTGTCAAAACATGCTATGTTCCACCATCAGTAAAACTCTTCCTTATGTTTATAAATTGTTGTTTGTCTACCTGTTATTAGTGTAACTAACATATCTAGACTAGGAGTTTGCCTGACGGCGTGGTGTGTAGTAAACTTAAGAGTTTGTTCTGATAGAATTACTGCTTGAATTTTTTAATGTTTAAAACATGGGCTACATTTTATCTAATATATCGTTAACATTCAACCTTTTAGGTTTTAGCCTGTTCTGCCTATTAATTTAATTCGACAATAACATATTAACTTTGTTTCTTTATTAGAAGTTCGAGATTTTATCAGAGAAGACTATGTCCACAACACTACAGACTGCCCCATCGTCACCTCTTCAGGTTCTGCCATTAGTATGCCCCTAACTCGTTTCCATAGATACCACGGAGAGAACATTATTTTGTGTGATGACAACATGGTTGCCTTCCGGAAGGCCAGTTTTGCTCATGCTATTGTTTTCTCAGAGAGGCCGTTACTTCCTGGTGAACTATTCCTCTTGGAAATAGAGAAGACAGAACGTGGATGGAGTGGTCATATGAGGCTTGGTCTGACCCAGCTTGACCCTTCTTCAGGCTTCCCATTACCCCAGTATGCACTGCCAGACCTAGCTAACAGAGGAAAGTCATGGATGGTTGCCATTAATAACTCTGATATTGACTCTAGTGACCATTCACCGTTTAACACCCTCGACCAGCATCCACCTGCATTGGGTAAGTTTTGTCAATGAACACTTACATTGCTATGAAATGGTGTTATTTATAATAATAGATAATGACTATGGTCCAACTACTACTTTCTGTATCGTAGATTAGGGATCTGTTCACAATTTGTTTGCTAGCCTAAACTAACATCCATAATATAAAACCATATGATGAAACATTATGCTTAGATGCTTGGGTGAGCAGTAGTAGTCAGTAACTAAGTTAGACAGTTTGTAT